GCGGCATCAGTGGCTCCAGGGCGCGGGCCAGGAGAATGGCCCCGCTCGCTGCCCTGTCACTCTCCTGGAGCCGCTGATGCCGCTCCTGCTGGCGCCGCTTCATCCCTGGGAGCTGCAGGGTCGGATAAAGTGCGGGCGGGAGAATGGCCCTGCTCACTACCCTATTGCTTTCTTGAAGCCGCTGATGCCTGTAGCACCTGGGGACGAAGTTATTAAGCTTTTATATAGTACAGTAGAGTCCGGATTATCCGACCTTTGGTAATCTGACATTCCGCTTTATCTGACCCTGCAGCACCCGGGGACGAAGCGGTGCCGGCAGGAGCGGCATCAGCGGCTCCAGGAGAGCGACGGGGTAGCGAGTGGGGCTGGGCACCCGGGAGCTGCAGGGAGGGAAGGGGCCAGAGCCAGGCAGGGATGGGGCCAGGATACATACAGTAGTGTCCCTATCATCCGACATATTCAGTAATCCGACCACGTGTCAGTCCCGGTTAGATCGGATAATTGGGACTGTGGAAGAAAACATTGTCCTCACTCTGAGTTTGTAAGCAACAAGTAGCCAGAGGCAGTTTTATTACGAGCTGCAGCAAGGGAAAAACTGGTTCGGACGGGGGGGAGTCCCCCCCCTCACCGAGGCAGATCTTCGAATACAAGCAATTATGAAGCAGTTTATATACTGTCTATTAAATATAATAACAATAACAATTAGTCTCCTTCCCATTACAAACACCAATGGCTAACAGTTATTTAGTTCCACCCAGATGCTCCTTATCTCAAGGTCCCTGCCAGAGTCAGCATTCTATCCTTATCTCCGTATGGAGGTGAGAGGCGAAGGCAGCGTCTAATTACAGATCTCGCGTTGTCAGGCCACAGACTTAGCCTGACTCTTGCTCTCTTGTTAACAAGACCAGGATGGCTGCACACAAATTCCCTTATTCCCTTTTCCTGCCTCCACAGGACTCTACTGTATTTACCTTCTTATCTTTAAGGCTTGCACAGAGAGAGGTGACATGCACACACTTCTTTATGCCTCTCTCTCACACAAGGATGGGGGTGACTGACTGACCTGACCCAACCCTTCTTGCCCAGTGCCTGCCACCCTCCAAGCCTGGCTGAGTCCCAGGGATGGACCTGCCTTTCTTGGTATTTGGTGCCATGTCTTCTCAAGGCAACATGTGTGGGGCATGCAGGGTCACAGGACCCGCCTCCTCCCACCCCAGATTTGTTGGTGTTTACACAAGAATGTGGCAAACTGCAGCCTTTTACAACTGTGGGGGAGGGAAGGGATAGGAGCAGCTTCCAGTGGAATGGAGGTGGGGGATTACTTGGCCTGTGTTTTTTGAGAGGTCATCTCTTCCCTCCCATCCCCCCATTGCCCTAAGGCTGGAAGCAGCTTGTCCCTTCCTGCTTGCACAGTGTAGAAAAGCAGCTAATACCTCCAAGCCGCTGACGGCCTCCTACATAACCCTGCTGCCTCCTGTCTCCTGGCTACAGTATGGGCAGGAAGGAGTTAGGTCCTTAGGATGCATAGTCACCATGTCCTTTGGAACCTGACTGTAGGGGCTTCAAGCCAATTTGGCCAGAGAGGCAAGGAGGGTGCCTATGGGACAGAGGAGCTCCACTCTCCCTGAGACCAGGATGTAGGTGGGGGGGGGGGGGGGGGAGAGGGCAGCATGTGAAGAGGATGCTAAGTGCCCCTGCCTGGGGACCTGCACAGCTGGATCACAAAGAGGATGGGAATTGCTTCCTCCCCACCAATCCAGAGCCTAGCTGATGGGTGGAGAAGCTTCCCCATGACAGTGTGGTGTCTTGGCTCTTGCAGGACTTGGCTCTTCCTGACCAGTGCCCTGGGCTGTAGGGTCTTGAGCTGTCCCTGGTGCCAGCGGAGCCTGCTAGCCACAATGTCAGTGATCTGAATGATCTGACCAGCAGCTGGTTTTCTGCACAGCGCTGGGAGTAGGATACACCCTGCTATGGGGGGAGAGGGGAACATAGAGGAGCAGCGAGGCTGTGGAGGTGGTGAATGGGCACAGCTGGGAGAGGACAGTGAGAGGGGAAGCACGTAAAGGGCAGATGGGTGGGTAGCAGTGGTGACATGTAACCAGCCAACACCTGCAGCAAGCAGCCTGGAAACCCGGCAGAGTGTGGGTGGAGGTGGAGGGAGCCTGCTGGCAGAGAATGGGCATGCAGCTGTGACTGCACTGATGGGCCAGCAGGGGGAGCAGCCAGACCTGCAAGCTTTGGCTTTGCTGGACCACCAACCTTGCACACTCCCCCCATGGTCAGCCTCTGGAACTCCCCCCCCCCCCCCGCCACTGCCAGTGGGTGGGCAGCTGGCGAGCAAGGATCTGGCCAGCAGTAGGACACACTAACATGGCCTGTCTTCAGGTGAGACTGTGATGGTTTAAGCCCTATGGACGGTTTCCTTGCTGAGTGGAGAGAGCCATAGAGCATTATGTAACCCACACATCTAGTGGCTGGGGGTCACTGTCCCATGTAGTGGCACTTAGACCACATACAGCAAGAGATAAGAACAAGGGAGCTCTACAGCCTAAGCTGAGAGCCAGCTGGTTTTATAGCTCAAGTTGTAGCGACTCCTGCACTAAGCTCCAGAGATCCCAGGCACAAATCCACCTGCAGGCAGTTACAATTGCACTAGCCATGGGGAGCATAAGCCCCATGAAAACAATCCTGTAACTTCCCTGCCCCATTTAACGATCATGGCCTCTCCCAAACAAGCCTTCCTTGCAACTCTGCCCCATCTGTGGCTAGCAGATTCAGAGAAACTGAGGACTGGGGCCTGCGGAGGGCAGGTACAGAGTGCCAGGTGCAATAAACCAAGGTACCAAGTGCTGCCCAAAATGGGGAGAGCAGAGGAACCTGATCCTGACTTCACTGAAAAGCTGCTGCACGGCCACCAGGTTGCTCCTGCCTAATGTGAAGCTAACTGCTCATTAGCACTACTAAGCATGTGCTTAAATGCCAGCCGTATCCATTAACCCTCTGCACATTTATTACCTCACCCTCTTGTGAATAAGACAGAGGGCCTGGCAGGAGGGCGTGTTCTGTGTCCCACCCACTAAGCCATTTCCAGCACCCAAGTTGTTTCCATCAAATCTTTACAGGAGCAGGTGGAGGTGCAGGGTCTGAGCATGATGGGGATGGGAGGTGCTTACCTGGCTCTGTGCCTCCTGCTGCTCCCAGGCACCACCACCTGCTGCTCCCATTGGCCATGATCCCAGCCAATGGGAGCAGTGAGGAAAGCCTTCCTGCACTGTCATTGCTCCTGCTGGGGGGAGAGGGAGCAGCAGCATGTGTGTGTGGGGCATGGGGCTGGAGTGCCAGCATAGGCTCCCTGCTGTGGGGGATGGTGTGAACTCCTAGCCCATGTCCCACCTTCAAGATGGCCACAGATCTCTAGTGGTCCACAGACCACACTTTGAGAGCCACTGGACTAATCTAATGTGTGTGGGAGGGAAGGCTGTCCCAATCTCTGTTTATACACTAAACATAAAACTGCTTTCTTTCAGCAATAGGATTCACTTTTACCAACTATGAGTGAGGCCCAGACAGTATGAGTACATCACATCAGACCAAAAGTGAATCTATTCTACCTGATAAAAAATAAAAACTGAAACCTATGGAGGATTTTTAATGTAAAATATTGTGAGTGTAAAATGTATGTAATTAAAGGATTAGGTTTAGGTTTATAGTGAGCATGTGCAGAGAATGAGCCAAAGAGGGCTGAAAGCCAGCTTTACTCATAGTAAGTGTGTGACTTTGGGGAAGTGGTTCTCAACCTGTAGATCACAGACCGTTTGCAGAACTGCATATGCGGCTCACAGTGGCAAACAGGTTGTGAACCACTACTCTGTGGCAATGTTGTTGGGTCTGTTCTACCTGATCATCACTCACGCACTAATGAATTCAAGCCCTACTGTGAGCAAAACCCTGAAATAAAAAGGCATGTTCTTCCAGTCTTCCTCTGCTAGAGGAGTTTTGTGTTTTGGGGAAATGTAATGTGAGCACAGCAAACTATTCAGAAAGCCCTAACCCAATTTTTAAAATAAATGATACATGCAAACACTTACTGGGAGGGGAGGGGAAGTCAGGGAGCAGAAGAATATGTGGGGAGGGATTGGGGCTGCAGTGAGAAAAGGGGGATAAATGGAGATGAGAGATATGGGAAGGAGGAACAGTTGTGGGCATAGGTTGGGGAAGGAAAACATGGAGACTGGAAAAATTGGATCAGGTGCATGTGTCAGTCTCACACCCTCCCTTGATCTGGAGTACCCTAGGGGGCAGACCATGGTGGGAGGAGGAGGGCTGGGGTTAGGTAACCTTACCTGCCCACAAGGGAGCTGTGGGCTGTCTGTGTGGGGACACTGCTGCCAGGAAATTGGCAGCAGTGTGAGAGACCCCCTGCAAACTGCTCTTTATTTGCTCTCTAAATAGCCCTTTAACAGCTGTTTAAAATAGCTTCCCCCTCTAAGTCCCTGCCAGCTCTTTAAATAGGTTCCTGTTGATTCTTTAACTACCCCCCCTACAGCTCAGGCCGCTCTTGTGGAAGCTGCACACTGGGGTGCACATGCTTACTTTCACCTCTGATGGAGACTCTGAGAGCCAGTAGGTGGAGGGGTCTCCACAGAAGTTTGAAAGGATGGCCCAGGTCTATACTGGAGGAGATCAGTCTCCAAGCACTCTTCTAGCTGCACCTATTTGTGAGGGCTTCTCACAGTGATAGCAGCCTCCCTGAAACATACCCTTCCTTGGTGGAGGCAGGGAGGAATGGAAAAGGGGGGAAAGAAGCAGGAAGAAAGAGGGAAGGGAGGAGGGAAAGGGAAACCTAAACGAACAAACCCTCAATACCCTGAGTGATTCTATGGGAAAAAGTCCTTGGGAGGAAATCAACGCACCGTAACCCACTGATTTCTAAACTTAGAAATCAGCTGGTATCACATGGATCAGACTGAACAGGTTTCAAACCTCTCTGAGGCGCTTACCTTCCAAACAGGGACTACACAATCAGTAGTAAGGAAGGAAAAAAATCGTAACGAGGTTCCTCCTCATGCTCACATCTATGAATCCTAATTCTCTCTCTGTCCCCAAGGAGAGACGTTGAGGAGTCTTGCTGTTGCAAAGCCACGGGAGTCTCTGAGGTTGTGCCTGCCTTGTGCTTCTGTCCTGCCTGGCTGATGTCGGGGTCTCTCTATGAGGTCATCAGCTCCCCACCCTTGTCTCCCAATAGATGAAGGTCCTACCACAGGCTTTTGTGATGTCACTACCACACCCACCTCTCCCTTGTAAGGTACCAGGGTGTTCTGTCCCTGGACAGCCTCCTTGGATGTTTGTGTGGCTTCTCCTGGATCATACCAGTTATTGAGTCTGGGGTTCAACCTGGCTGCACAGTAAAACTCCAAAGGCTGCTCCCTATGCCACACTCAGTTTTTCATTAATTAGTAGACTTTATGGCAAGGAGGGACCATTAGAGGATCGAATCTGCTCCTTGCATATCCCAATCCTTCTGTATATCATAGTAACTGAGCATTGATCCAAGCACACATCAAAAAGGCATTTAGTCTTCATTAGAAGACATCAAGAAATGGTGAATCCATCATTTGCTGTGGTAGTTTGTTCTAATGGTGAATCATCCTCACTGTGAAATATTTGTGCTTTATTTCTAATATGAATTGGTATGTTTTCACTTTCTAGCCACTGGTCTTGTTCTGCCTTTCTCCAGGGCTTTAAACAGTCCTTGAATACCTGACATTTTCTCTCCAGGAGGGCACTTAGATACTTCAATTAAGTCACCTCTTGGCCTTCTTCTGTAGAAGCTAAACAGACTGAGCTCCTTGCGATAGCTCACAAGATGACATTTATCTTCAGCCCTCAAAACATTGGGCTTTTTGCTTCCCTGTCTCCCATTTTTCAACACCTTTTAAAAATGTGGCCCCTAGAACAGGCTGCAGCCTCCAATCTCAGTGTCATAGATGCAGTTTCATCTCCCTGACCTACTTACTCCTCTGCTCAGATGTCTAATGATGGCTTTAGTTGTAGTCACCACAACACTGTCCTGGCATAATAAGCAGTGGTGACTAATGGCTGCTGAGCCACTGTCCAGTGTTTTGTAGGCTTCATGTATCAGGAGATGGTAAGAAGTCTAGAGGAGGAAAGTGGCCTTGTGGATTATTATAGGGAACTTCTCCCAGGCAGAAGGGGCTACATGGGAGGCAAGGGCAATAGTACGTCCTGTGACACAGTTTCAGGTTTACCATGATGCTGGGGCTCCATAGCACCGGTCCATAAGTAGAAAGGCCTCCCCGTGTCCAGACCATGGCGCCTTCTGCTCTCCCTGCTCTGTCCTGTGGCTCTACCCACAGCTCACCCCTCTTTATCCCTCCCCCTTCCCTGACCCCAGAGTATGGGGCTAGTGATGCGGCTTGGTTGGGTAGGCTCTAGGGGGTCATAAAGTCTCAGGGATCTGCCCCTCTCTTCAGCGTGACTCTGGTTCTGGTCATCTCTGCTACCGCCAGTACTGCCACTGGTGGTGCCCCACCCACCTCTTTCCAGCTGCCTGGGACCCATTCAGGGCTGGGCTGGGCCAGTGTGTGGAGGTAGTGTAAGGGCCTTATCTGGACTGGGCCCCTTAAGCAAGTGGGTCTTGAGAGAGCCTGGGCCATGCAGGCCCCGCTCCCACTCTGGCCTGGCTGATTATACTGCTCCATTTGGAAAGTAGGATAAGGGACCCTCTGAAGGCAGAGAAGTGGTGTGGGTTCTTGAGTGGACAGGGGGATATGGCATTTGCCTCTGGAGCACAGGGCAGTAGTGGTTGTGGTTTCAAGTCCCACCCACTCTGGGAGTGGTGGGTCAGCCAACATCGGCTGCCCCATGGATGGAGCTGGTCCTGGCTGATTATGCTACTCCATCTACATGCCTGAGGAGTTCAGGAGAGATCATGCTTCTGGGAGGCAATTCCTACCCTAGGAATGAGTCCAGCCCCCTGCACTCCTAGGTGACAACCTGAGAGAATCTACAGTGCCTCTCAGGCAGATTCTGAAACACAGGGAGACCCCCACAAGGTGGGTGTGAACCTCTACAGGCAATGGGATATTCCAGAGCTCAGAAGCTAACAGGGTGGGAGTGGCAAGTTCTGACAAGACACACCTGCCCTCTGAATTTTTAATCTTCTGATAGTTCAGTATCTATTTAACCCACTTAAATCTATGTTTAAATCCATGGCCTCTGGTATCAGTGGCTGCTCCTATAACATGAGGGAATTGGAGGAGAGAAATCAACTTTCAATTTGTCTCAGGAACATTTAGAAATTCCTCTCCCCCTCAACTACCCACCGCCCAGGTTGTTTCCTAGCCATTTACTTTGCTTATCTACATTTTCTCAGGCCCTGGAGATATCTGTAAGGGGAGTCCAGTAAATTACATTGTCAAATTGGCTGGTATGAAGGAAAGTCTCAGGGAGAGGAGTGCCAGAGCCTCTTGAGATAGCACCGCAATGGAAATAGGTTATAAATCAGGAAACCAGGACCCGGGGCAAAGGTGACATACTAAAAATTCTGTCCTTGACATTTGTACAGAGGCACCACATTCTTGGCACCTGGGGGAAGGTTTGTCTGCTGTTGATTTATTTCTCTAAACTGCTAAATATGTTATCGCTTTCTGGAACACACACAGCCCCAGCAAACACCCCCTGCTGTATAAATAGCCACACAGCACTCCCTACTCCAGCAGACACCCTTCTCTTTCAGGGGAAAAACTGCAGACATGCATCCAACTTGCTATTCAGGGCTTAAGGAGCAACCTGTCTTCAACCAGGGCAGGATCAACTTGGATTCTCTCTTCCCAGTCCACCACTTCCACTTCACACCCCTTCAGGTGACAGGGCAATAAGAGAAACTGCTGGTGAATGATAAATACACTCCTAACCTTAAAGGACATGGATCACTTGATAGTTACCTTCTCTGTTCATTACCTTTGGGAGACCTGGCACTGGCCACTGTTGGCAGACAGGATACTGGGCTAGATGGATCTTTGGTCTCACCCAGCATGGTTGTTCCTATGTTCTTATTCCTGCTAATTCCTTCCTGTCATTTCTTGATTTCTTTTACTAGTTCTCAACTTCCATCTCCCATTTTCATTTTCTTCCTTTATCCATTTTCTTTCCTGTGATTTCTTCCCTACATCTCATTTCCATTTCAATCTCTACCTCTTCATACTGTCTCCCTCCACTGCCACTCCTGAGTTGACCCAGGGATGCCATAAAAAGAGCTCACAGAAGCACCTTCTTAAATGTCTGTCACCAAGACGATGTCCCTGTATATGGGTATCAGCAAGAAAGACATATGTGGTCCTAAATTCCTGCTTCCTCCTAGCTGTAGGCAACGGTACTGCTCCTGCCTCTCTTGAGTAGCTTACTGCAGCCCAGCAAAAGTGGATAGACTGCCACAGACATTGTGGAAGAGGGAGAAATATTAGTGTGTTTCTCCCAAAGTCTCAACACAAGATCCCCTAAAGCAAAATTTGCCAATATGGGCATAGTACAGAGGTGTGGAAGACAGTATTCAGTGTGCTGCAGAGCAGTGCCTACTGTGTTTGCCATTGAAAAAGTAATTGTTTTACAGTTCTATAACAGCTTCCATCCAAGAATGATGTTGGTAATTCAGTGCTGGTCCAAGTTAGAACAGCTTCAGGGCTGTTGTCTTGTTGCATTGGCTTGTAATGGCCCTTTACTGGCCATCAGGAATGACAGAAGACCTAGGCCATGTGCCATGGCAAAAGAGGGGCCTTCAGGCTGGTTGAAGAGCCTGCAAACACCATGAGCGAAGTTAGAGGGGAGAGCAGGCTAGTTCTTCTGATGGACCTATGGCAGGAGACCCTTCTAAGCACGGGCAGCAGAGAAAGAGGAAGCTGACCTGGTTGAAGTTTCTCTGTCCAGTTCCATTTCCATCTCTCCCATTACCATTTCCTCTCTGATATATTCTACTGTCTCTGAAAGGCCCGTATGTGTGTGTGTGTGTGTGTGCGCGCACGCAAAGCGTGCATCCTCCAAGTAAGCATGCTCCGGCTGGCTAGGGGAAGGCAGGAGCAGCCCTCTGCCCAACCCTCCCTCCCCCATGCTCTGACCAGCCAGGGGAAGGGGTTGTTTCCCCCGCTTACTTGGGGGACCATCGGGGTGTATTCACACCCTTGCAGTCTACACTTCTGGGGGACCATCGGGGTGTATTCACACCCTTGCAGTCCACACTTCCAAAAAAGCACCCTCCCAGAGAAATTCCTGCTTATGGGCCTGTCTCATTATTCTGTCTCGTTCACTCCCTCCCCACTCCTCCACTCCCATTCGCAAAATCACTTCCTTTTCTCTCTCCCCCTGTGGGCCTCATTTCTTTTTCTCCCCTGAGTTCCCCTTCATTTATGGGTCTCTCATCTTTCCCCTGGGACAATCCCTCCTTGGTCTTTATCCCCCTCTTCCAGCCACCGAAGCATTAAAGCCGAAGGAATGGGAGTGGAGAGTGTCTGAGGTGGCTGTATGAAGCAGCCAGTTACTATAACCGTAACGGTATGCCCTAGACTTACCTCTAGGTTTGATGATTTGATTTTTTGCCCTCATTGGTAGTTAACTAAAGTTATCACTACTTGTCAGCTGTTCAATGCTCTGTGTGGAACGAACTGGGAATCCTCTATGTTTCTCTCTCACACAACCTACCCCTCTTATTTTGGAAGAAGGCTCCTCCCCCTTTGTTTATAGTCTGAGCAGAGAATTCAAGGACTGAAAGATTCTCTGAGAATGAGAAAACTTCTCATGTCTAGAAGTGATTCCTTATGGCCTCGTTTCTTCAAAACAATTCTCAATATTTAAAACCAAAATGTCCTGTCACTTGAGCGCTCATCTACTATAGTTTGTGGGAGTGATTTTCACAAGTACCTAAGGGATTTAGATGTACAAGTTCCATAGACAGTCAATGGAATATATGCCCTTAAATCCCTGCGGCATTTTTTCCTTTCTTTGTAGCTCTTAGTTAACTTGTCCATTTAAACTAGAGTTAATGGTGGATTCTGTATAAGTACCTCAACTTATTGAGACCTCACTTCAGATAGAGTTAATGGTGGATTCTGTATAAGTTGAGGTCTTCAGGTCTCAAGTAACTTCAATAATTCAGCC